AAGAGGAACAGAGGGATAGGAATATTAGAGAGGGTATGGGGGGGGGGGGGGGGGGGGGAAAGAGAGAAAGAAAAAAACCAAAAGGAAGTCCATTTAAAAAGACCGTTAGCTGCTCAAGTCGCAGCTATGCACTGGAAAATGATTAAACATTACCATGTAGCGGAGAAAGCAAATGCTTTGTATAACAGATACTTCCCGTCGAGCCTACAGAGGTTCCTTTCATGGGTGGTACATGGCCCATTCGTCTGCCTCACCAACCCTGCCGGTATAAGAGGTCAGTATACGCATGCACGCTCGCATCTCCACCCCAGTTAGGTCGAGTGTCGGCCTGAAGTGACCATGTTTTGATCATCACACACCCCCTAGTAGGGTAGCATATTCAGGGGATGCAGTGAATGTTGTCCAGTAGAACCAGGTGCGGTTGAACTGAGTCCTCCTCCTTATTTTCTTGAGTTTGCATCCTTTGGCCATGAAAAATAACCTACGAGTATCTCCGAATATACAACCGCCTTTTCCTTTTCTCCGGAGAGGTCTTTTTTGTTATCAGCGGTATGTCGAAGGGCTGCTTCCAGTTTCAGAGCGATCCAGGTCTGGAACTGGAAGCTAAGTCACTAGAAAAAGGCAAATTGCAGAGACGCAGCTTGGAAGTCTCCTTCCCAAGTTTGCAACCAAAGAGCTCCACAGGAAGAATTAAAAAGGAGCTGAAGAACGGGGAGACACCCGGACTGACTCTGCTGAAGCGTCGGCGATGAAACACACAGCCTTGAATAACACAGGTAAGAAGAATTCTGTCTGGGAGTTCCGGCCTGCAGCCGAGAAAGCCAGAATTCCATGTTTCTAGCAATGCCGGCGGTGGCCAGGGCAAGCGTCAGGTTAGAAAGAGAAGAATCCCAAGCTCTCTTAAGAAGCTCGCTTGTCTTCTTGGCCATTGCGTCCTCGAGAACCCCCATATCTTCTAGGGCAAGGTCATACTTGTTAGAAAGAGGGGCATCCAGTTTAGGATTTTTATTTCAACCTAAAGCGGGATCCGCATCAAAAGGGAATCTTGGTTTAAAGTGACATGAAACCCTCAGGTTTTGTAACATAAAACAATAGTGTAATGTGCGCCTTCCTGTAATCCATGGTTGTTTCCCTTCTCTTTGCTGCTCTTCCTTTTAAATCCTCATGTCTTCTCATCTCATGTCTCATGCTGGGGGAGAACTTCCCTTTGCAGCTGACTGCCTCTTCCTGTAGTGCTGGCTCAGGTTTCAAACCCACACAGAGACACCATGTATCCATTCCAGAGACAAGGCAATCTGCTGCAAAACAGAAGTTCTCCCCAAGCATGAGAAGACATGAGGATTTAAAAGGAAGAGCAGCAAAGAGAAGGGAAACAACCATGGATTACAGGAAGGCGCACATTACAGTATTGGTTTATGTTAAAAACTCTGAGGGTTTAATGTCACTTTAAATTATTAGACAAGAAGGGCTTCTTTTTTGGCTCGGCCCACTCCTTAAAGGAGAACTATGGGGTCCGGGCTTTTCCCCATAGTTCTCCTAACGGTCACGGGAGAACACAAACTAGCGTCTTCCCGTCACCCAAGCTGAGACGCCGCAGCCGGGACGGATCCCGACATTGCTGTCTCTGCCTATCCAGAGACAGCTGTGCCCGCCCCCTCCCCCGTCCATTGCGCAAGTCAGCGCTGGAGGATCGGACAGGGGAGGGTGGGGAAACCTGCAGGGAGCTGTGAGTGAAAGTCACGGCTCTCTGCAGGGATAGATTGAGAAGTGAGCGAGCGCCGTTATGTGTTCGCTCACTTCCCGATCTACTGAGCCGACGTGTGACAGTTTCATTGTCACAGGTCAGCTCAGATTATGAGGCTGAGTGAAAATCACCCCGCCTCATAATTCTCCTGAAGAACAGAATCACACAGAACTTCGTGAACCAGAAAAACCCTTAAAATCCGTTCTTTGCAGACCTTGGTACATAAGATCACGTCGAGACAACTGAACTTATACTTTGTGAATTTCCAGAGTCTTGTAAATAGCAGATGAGCAGATCATTTATGTCCTCCAGGGGTAACTTGTATGGAGGCACCCAGGCTGGGTCATCATAACTGCCATCTTCCCCCCATGTAAGAATGAAGCACAGATGGAGCAGCATCGCCAAACTCGTCCAGCTCGGGTGCCGTGCACAAAGCTTCTTCTGTCACCAGCTAATGAGCTGCAGAAGACTCCGGCCCAGGAAGGGCCCCAGCTGGATTGCTCGTGTCGTTAATATGAGATCTGAAGGAGTGAGCGGTAGAGGATAACGGATGACAAAAGGTTACAGCGAGGATTAGCAGATTCTTCTTTAAACAAACCATCAATACAAAGTTGATCCAAGAGCTTAGAATGCACATAATGAAGCTCGCAGCACATTTACTCCCGGGGATACTCTGAGATCTATCCGGAGCCCTGGCCTGAAAGATACGATGGACAGGCCAAACTAGACATGCGAAAACCAAAACGCCGATACTTAAAGGAGAACTACGAGGTCAGGGCTTTTCCCCATAGTTCTCCTTAGGGTAACGGGAGGACACAAACTAGCGTCCTCCCGTCACCCTAGGCTCAGTATATAGCGGGCTACAGCTCGCGGTATACTGAGACGCCGCAGCCGGAGCGCATCCCGACATCGAGATCCGCCCAGCTGCGTGAGTGACAGCTGGCTCCGCCTATCTAGAGGCAGAGCCAGCTGTACCCGCCCCCTCCCCCGTCCGTTCCGCCAGTCAGCGCTGGCGGATCGGAGCGGGGAGAAGGAAATCCAGCCCCTCCCCGTCACGGCAGAGAGCCGTGACAGGATGGAGAGGTGAGCGAGCGCCGGTATGTGTTCGCTCACCTCGCGATCTACTGAGCCGACCTGTAACAGGTCGGCTAGAACTATGAGGTGAGTGGAAATCACTCACCTCATAGTTCTCCTTTAACGGAGATGAGCTAGATCCAGTGCCAGAGCCATTGTAAGCCCACCACCCAGGTGACCCCCACAGAACAGTAAATACACCGCAGGTGATACAGGTTAAAAAGACCAAAACAAATGCAAATACCTGAGCAGAGCTGGTACCCACGGAAGGCGCATCCACTGGAGTCTGCAGGGAATCAACGCCGCAGCAACACTTCCTTCAATGCTGGCGTCCTCGCAGCCTGTGCTGGGAGATCGTGCCGAAAATGTACCAGCCAGGACCGCCCCTTTCTCTGCACCGAGAGCAATGCATGGAGCGCGCAGGCTATGGTGCCCGAAATTACATCACCCCTACCAGAAGTGATGTACACTATATGGTCAACCAGGAGGGAGCGCCAGAGACCCCGGGAGGCACCAGCTGCAACTCCACCAGGGGGGGTAAATTAATTCCCAGTCGCTTCCCTCTCTAGGCATTGAGGAGGACCGGGGAGCCAGGCCACCTCCTGCCTGTACTGTGGAGGGATCCCGGGGACCACAGGTGAGAAAACAGCGGGGAGCCATCACAGCCCAGGAGCGGCAGAGGCTCCAGAAACACTCCAACAACGATTAGTCTCCTCCCGAGAGGGGAAACACTAAAACTGAGGGAAGTCCTGGGGGCCGGTCTTTTATTCTCTATGGGTAATGTGTTTCCTGTCCGGGAGGCGGAGCCTCCGACTCTCATGAGCTGTCATGGAAGACGAATGAGGGCAAATATCGATTTGATAAATATTTGGTCAAATATTGTGTGACATAAAAGATGGCACCTAGCCTCTGCTTTCAGAAAATACACCATTGTTTGTGGGATTTAAACAGTTTTATAGCCAAAAATTCAGATTGTAACATGTGTGTGTAGAAACTAAGAAATTGCTGCGGAGGAGAAGAAGAAAATGATTGTTAAACCCGACGGGGAGCTCGGTGCACATCACACTCGCTCCCATTCAAATCTGTACAGGAGTTTTTTTAAAAATGCAATTTTCATTTCTGTCAGTGTTGTCTGTATCTCCAACCCGGGCTGAGGCCCAATTTAGGGGCATTCCAAAGGGGGAGGTACAGCTAGCAGTACTCACCTTGCCCTCTTCATTCAGAAGCCCTGCGCCTCCTCTATGACCTTCTCTCCTCCTCTGAGCGGACTGTGCACAACCTCCACCTCCTCCGAAAGCTGTCAGGCGGCGCACCTTCAGCTCTGCAGCCCTGGGCCTCTCCGGCAGCATCTTTGAAGTGACAAGAAATACCGAGCCCCGCCCCCCTTTGCCCATTATTTTTAGAGACTGGAGAAGTAATTGTTGGCTTGCGTTGTTGTGCATGTCAACGCTCCTCTCCAGACGCTGAAATTCAATACAACACAAGCCAACAGTTACTTCTCCCCTTTCTATCCTGACCCTGATGAATAGCCGGCAGCGGGTCCGGGCTCAGTATTTCTTGCCGGCAGAGAAGATCTGGAGGCACAAGGCTGCACAGCAGTTCTGGAGATGTTCCGTCTGGCAGCTTTTAGAGGAGGAGGGGTGGGGACTATGCAGGCTCTGTGTGCACCGCCTGCCGCACCCCCTCTCCTCAGCGTCGTTAGCCACGACTGCCGTCTCCTTCCTCCAGCATTGTCGCATAGCAGGGGAGGGAGGCGGAGCTATCGGACAATGCCGCTCAGCAACCCTTGTACGGATCTGAATGGGACCAAGTGCAATGTGCACCGAGAACCCTTGGGAGGTTTAACAAGCTTTGTCACAAGTCTTCATTAACTATCACTGGAGCACATGGTAGAGGTAACTCACAGCTACTGCGAGGCACCAAGACCCTCCGTTTCCTAATTGCTATATACGTCCAGTGTTAGTAATGCCATGGATCAGAGAAGAACCAGCTTGGTGTTGTGTCTGCCTTCCACGTGGTACTGCAAATGTATGCAACCTTTGTTTTCATTACAATCAGCCCCCCTGACTGGGTGTCATGCTATACTTTGAATTGTCTATTGTAAAGGACGATCAGACATGGAAATGACGATGCTTCAGGCAATCTCTGTGCGCTTCAGATTGCTTTGGAGAGATGTACTTACAAAAGCTGAGTTGACAGCATCTACAAAGGTTTCATCATCCATCTTAAGGAGTTCAGCCGCATGTTCAGGAGACGTGGACCACACTAAGGAACTGCAGGTATCTGAAAGCTGTTGGGGAAAGGAATATTTTAGGCAGTTAAGAAACACGAGAGGAGCGATGCAAGATCAGAAGACACACACGTTGGACCGGCCACAATCAGAAATGTGCTGAGCACCCTAAAGTGTGGCAGCCACCAGGAATGCTCTAGAAACCAAATGTCAGCTGCAAGGACAATCCTGCTGGTCCACGCTCAATGGCTGCCCATCACTTTTTCCCTTTCTCTAACCCAGGGGTAGCCAAACTCCGGCCCTTCAGCTGTGGGTGAAACTACAAATCCCATGATGCATCTCTCTCCGGGAGTCGTGGCTGTGAGAATCTTGCAGTGCCTCATGGGATTTGTAGTTCCACCCACAGCTGGAGGGCCGGAATTTGGCTACCCCTGTTCTAACCAGTTAAATAGGTACATGAAATGATGACAGAAGGACCGCGGCTACTCCACAAGACAAGACGACAGAAGGACCGCGGCTACTCCACAAGACAAGACGACAGAAGGACCGCGGCTACTCCACAAGACAAGACGACAGAAGGACCGCGGCTATTCCACAAGACATGATGACAGGAGGACCGCGGCTACTCCACAAGACAAGATGACAGAAGGACAGCGGCTATTCCACAAGACAAGATGACAGAAGGACCGCGGCTATTCCACAAGACAAGAAGACAGAAGGACCGCGGCTATTCCACAAGACATGACGACAGAAGGACCGCGGCTACTCCACAAGACAAGGCGACAGAAGGACCGCGGCTACTCCACAAGACAAGGCGACAGAAGGACCGCGGCTACTCCACAAGACAAGAGGACAGAAGGACCGCGGCTATTCCACAAGACAAGACGACAGAAGGACCGCGGCTACTCCACAAGACAAGACGACAGAAGGACCGCGGCTATTCCACAAGACAAGACGACAGAAGGACCGCGGCTAATCCACAAGACAAGACGACAGAAGGACCGCGGCTATTCCACAAGACAAGACGACAGATGGGGAGAAACATACAACTTACAGGAAGTAGAGCAATGGGGCCGGTGGGAAGGAACCTCTGCCAGGCTACATTGTTGTCGGTGGGCTGCAAGAAATGGACACACAAGCACAGACATGAGCACACCCGCTGTGGACACATTGTAGGATAATGAGAGATAAGCAGCACAGAAATTTCAATAGATGTCATCTTATATGGTTCAGAAAATTAAAACCTTTACTCACTCCGGGAGGGTTAATGTGACTTCGCTAATGCTGACGTTTTCTACAGCCGTCTCCTCATTTATTTAGTGGGGCCGGTGGAGACGTTACTATAGTCAGCTCTCATCAGATGATCTACAAATGTACTTTATGGGAGAAGTGGTTCTCAGGACTCAGGAACTAACCTGGGGTCTTCCCTCCGTTAAAGTACACCGACCTAACAAACATCATGTCTACTAGATGTCCCGGATCTTCCCTCCACTAGAGTATGCTGATCAAACCTAACAAACATGTCTACCAGATGTCCAGCGCTAACCCTAAATACCATCCACCTCTAGAATACATTATGCTTGCCCTCAGTCAATAAACTCTTAAAAGGAGAATTATGAGGCGAGTGATTTTCACTCAGCCTCATAATCTGAGCCGAGGTGGGACAATGAGACTGTCACCGGTCGGCTCAGTAGATCGGGAGGTGAGCGAACACATACCGGCGTTCACTCACTTCTCGATCTATCCCTGCAGAGAGCCGTGACTGTCACTCACGGCTCCCTGCAGGTTTCCCCCCCTCCCCGCTCTGATCCTCCAGCGCTGTCTGGCGGAACGGACGGGGGAGGGCACAGCTGGCTCTGCCTCTAGATAGGCGGAACCAGCTGTCACTCACGCAGCTGGGTGGATCTCGACATCGATGTCGGGATCCGTTCCGGCTGCGGTGGTCTCAGTATACCGCGAGCTGTAGCTCTCTATATACTGAGCCTAGGGTGACGAGAGGAGGCTAGTTTGTGTCCTCCCGTTACCCTAAGGAGAACTATGGGGGAAAGCCCTGACCCCATAGTTCTCCTTTAAAAGACAGGAAACACATATGGTGTATATTCACAACCTTGTCCCATACCTTGTGCAACTTCTTCCCCCTACATCTAATAAATCCTCATTATGTGTCCATGTAACCTAATTGTGTGCTCAATGAAACCTCTACATGTGTCTGACGATCTCATTTTATTGGATGAACGCTCTTTCCTAAGACACCGATAGAGCCATAATAATGCCAACACGCTGTCACTTAATGACCGCACTCTCACTGCTACTGGTGCTGGCTGCCCTCTAGTGGCTACAAAATATAATTCTCAGGGCCGTCTGTGGCCCTCCAGCAGGTATAAAGCACTTCATTTACCTCAGACAACTGCAAAGTAGCAACAACAGCAAGATGGTTGTAGCTCCACTGAACTGTTTTCATCCCGGCCGTGCTGCGGACCATAGAGTTCTGTCCATCTGCTCCAATCTAGAAGGATGTAAAACCAGCTGTATCTGCACCCAGTTGCATCCCTTCTCGTCATGATAAGGAGCTGGCCAGGTGTAGTTCACAGCCCGACTCCGGTAGAGGACCTCAATGCGGTCTGTAGTTATACATATGAAAACAAAGGAATCATCGCTGACGGCAAAGCCGAACAAGGGAACAGAGGTGTCATCCTGCTGGCAATGTAGTGCTGCAGAGGTGTGACAATCATAGGAGTGCTGGGATAAAATGACAGGTCCACTTTACCGTGGGCTTACACAACTAGGCCTGGTCACATCATTTAGATGAGAACTCTGACCTGACATGGCGTCCAGCTGTTTCGTCAGCGCGGCTGTGATAACGTCATTCTCAATGATGTATCCCATATCCTCCAATCCTTCCTTATCGAATGTGATGAGAGCGTCAGAACAGGCGTCCCAAACCTGCAAGAGATCAGCTGTCGGTTCACGGAGAAGGTCCCACAATGGTGCGCAATCATTATCTCACCTGCATTCTCTTGTATGGCCTCATCCTCATGGCACAGATGTGATCCCAGACCCCAAAGCCTAATGGCGGCAGAGAAATGAGATCATCAGAGGGAATGAAAATGGAAGCGGCGCGGCTCGGTCCCAGCATGAGTACTTACTGGCCAGGAGGGTGGCTGAGCCGGGGGTAATGGAGCTGACTCTGTTGCTGAACTGCTCCGGTAAGGGGTCAGCATACACTTTCCTGTGCCCCGCCTCCAGCAGAAGAATCTTTTTTTGGTGCAGATGAGGGTGAGAACCTAAAATATCAAAACAAATTACAGTTTATGGCCCTAAACCAGGAGACGTTTCTGATCCTTTGACACTTCTGGGACACTCCTGTCCTCGCCCCTGGGCCCTGTCCGCGCCCCTGTCCTCGCCCCCCGGCCCTGCCCTGATGAGAGAAATGAGCAGGGGGTGAGAGAAAGAAGCATTGGGGAGCAGGAGAAGGAAGCATGGGGGAGCATTGGGGAGCAGGGGGCGGGAGAGGAAACACTGGGGGGCAGAGACAGGAGCAGGAAGTATTGGGGGGGGGGAAAGGAAATCCTTACCCAGAGCGCAGGCCATGGCACTTCCCACCATTCCTCCTCCAGAAATCACAGCGTCATACAGAACCGAGGAATTCAGAGCGCGATGAGAACTGTGCAGACCCCGGAGCGGGGGAAGGGCAAGTCGGCAAACAGGGAAAAGCATGGTGGTCACCCCGGTGTCACCTCTACAAATCAAATAGATATGATGTCATCAGATTAAAGGGGAGCTCCAACAAGAACTCTGCTTTGCGCTCCCCACACCTCTTCTAAAGGTAACGCAGGCTGCTAGAATTGTGACCTACTGGGGTCATATTCTCTGTACAGCACTGCGGCATATGTCAGAGCTACATAAATGTATAATAGTGTGTGACTGTGGGGGGACATTAGAGTGTAAGCTCCTCTGTACAGAGACTGAGGGGGTGGGGGGATTAGAGTGTAAGCTCCTCTGTACAGAGACTGAGGGGGGGACATTAGAGTGTCAGCTTCTCGGTACAGGGACTGTGACTGGCTCAGTGCTCTCTGTACAGCGCTGTGGTATATGTCAGAGCTATATGTATAATAGTGTGTGACTGTGGGGGGACATTGGAGTGTAAGCTCCCGTAGTTGGGGCGATACGATCAGGTCTCATGAATGTCTTGGAAGGAATATCTGATATCTCGGCATATAATGACACTACAGATACTTCATGAGCCTTCACAGTGTCCTCCACACATCACCTGTCATCCGTTCCAGTCGCTGCCTGGCGACGTCACTGCGCCACATTACTATATTTTGCCCGATTCCAATATGGCGTCTCCTAACTTCCGGTGACTTGCAGGAAATGCATGGTCACCATGGAAACGCATAACATGACGGACGCCGCACAGCATAGAAGAGAGCAGCGACCTACCGTATATACTCCTCTACACTCCCATCTACTTACCGTAAATACCCCGGTATAACCACTACCTACCGTCTATACTCCTCCGTATCCCCTTCTACCCACCATATCTTACTATACCCCCTCACCATCCACTGTATATATAATATATCCATTCATGACCCCTCACCTACTGTATAAAC